TCCAAAGTGGCTGGGATTACCAAGCCCTGCAACTCTCCTTTTTTTTTTTATAGACAAAGAACTTGGTTGTCAGTAAGGTTAAGTATCTCACCCAAGAATACTAGAAAGTGGCAAAATGGAATGAAAACCCTCTCTTCCAGCACTCTTACCTCCACATCTGCTTGGCTTTCCTGTTTACTCCTACACATCACACATCTAATTTCCATGGAGAGTCCAGCTTCCATAGACCCCTTCTAAGCTGTTTGTCTCTAAAGTTTTGAAAGTGAAAACTTTTGCAAACTTTATCAAGACATTGGAACTGTGTTTCAAAACTTTTAGTCCCTCCTGAACAATGATTGATTATAATACTATCATTTTAACTTGTTTTAAGTTATTTTATTTTATTTATTTTTAAAATTTCATTTTACCTTTCTCCCAGTCTCCACAGTCTAGGTTTGGGTCTACTTAAGGAAGAAACTCAATTTCAGTATTTTCATGTCTTTCTTGTTCACACATTTTCTAAGTAAACATGCTTCAAGTCCTTAAGCAGTTGGAATTACATGAAGAGACTGAAAAAAGAAAAGAATCCTTTCGAGATTTCTGAAACTTTGAAATGACAGTACAATCTTCAGGGAGTTAGCCTTTGAGGGTGGACAGCTTATCTGTGTATCCTGCATCTTTTATAGAAAGAAACAATAACCGGCTCCCTCGGTCCGGGATTCTTGTCGCCGCCCAGTGGAGGGAAGCGCGTTTGCACCTCATTAGGGTCAGCTGGCACTGTAGTCTCGTGGACCCTGAGAAACGTTCAAATGAAATGTTAAAAGAAACCCCAGCTTCAAGTTCATCACAATTTTTTTTTGTAAAGTTAAGCTAATATTTTAGAAAACTGATGCTTCAGTTTAAAAGACTCCTAAATCTAGGTAGTGAAAGTGGTGGATGTGTTAAGGTACAAAACTTAAGATATGTCCAAGTATTTAAATTATTCTCTGTGGTGAGAAGGAAGTATCACTGGTATTGACTGGTACTGATATGTCCTTCAGAGCCAGCAAGAAAGTGTTTGTCCTCTATCATTCACAGTTGGAATATAACTGTTTTCTAGGCATTGATTCCAAAAGCTTCCCAGAATTAAAGAATTTTTTTCATCCTTCTTAAGAAGAAAAGGTGGACCTGGAAGTGGGTGACTATCTTAAAATTCACGTCAGTTTAAGGACTCTACTTATTGTTGTCTTTCATACAGTGAGAAAATTTGAGATTAAATTCAGTTAATGCATAGCTATTCACGTGGAAAATTGACTAATCTGCGCCCTGATTTATAGAAAATGTAGTTTTTAAATATCCACACTATATATATGCTCGGGGGTCGGGGAATGGCAAAAGAGGACTGTCTGGAGGAAAAAAAAAGAACGGAGAAAAGTTAAACAAGATCTTATCTGAAAAATTTCTTTTTCATGAAGTGTGTGTGGTTTGGTCTTTGAGTCCCTCTTCTGATTGTTTAGGCCATTATTAACATTTCCTCTCTGGCAGGGACCCAAATATAAGGGCGTCGATAAAAGTCAAGGTCGTATTTTCCCTTCACCATTGTTGCTCCCGAAAGTTAATCTTTCAACACCCAACCAAAGAAATTGTCTATGATATTAACCTTTTTTTTTTAAAAGAAAAGATGACCTGAAACATTCACAAGGGGGGGGGGGTCTACTGGGTCTCTGGATGCATAAAACACGCATTCCCCTCCCCCAACGCTTCGCCCTTCCTCTTTTCCTTTCCTTTCCGATTTCTTTTTTTTTTCGTAGGGTCATATTTCGTCGTCTCCCCTGCCAATGTTGTGAATTATTCCAGGCAAAAAACGCTGTGGAACCGCCCAACACAAGCTGTGCGATCAGCCTTTTGAGCTCTTGAGTCATTTTAGGCGTCGGAACAAAACAAAAACAGGCTTAAATGAATTATTTATCAAGGTCGAGAATAATTGATTTGTGCAGTGCCGTCAGTTCTGGATTTTAAATTTGTTTTTCTCTCCCTTCCCACTTCCCACCCTGAATACGCAGCGAGGGGAGTACGAGTTGGAGACCCAAGGGCGAGGAGGAAACGCACCTCAATTGGGAAGTTGGTGGGTGATGTCAGAATGGGAAGAAACCTAATCGATAATTGAAGAGGAAAGAAAGTGGAGCATTCGTGGGCAGTCTCGGGCAGCTCCATCGCCCTGCCCGCTCTTCCCACGTTGGTCATCAGGGCCAGAGGCGACGGGCGTGAACCCCGCGAGGGTGTGCTGCGCCGGGGCCTAAAGTTGGGGGTGGGGTCTCGGCCTCGGATATCCATATTGCCTTTGTACGTTCCCCGCCGGTGGTAGTGTAACCCAMGGCCAGAAGGAAGGCCAAGGCCTGGGCCCGAAAGCTCCGGGGAGGGTGTGTCTGGCCTCACGCAGTTCCCGCGTCAAAGACGAACAGATCCAACCCAGCTCCGGCTGTGATCCAGGCTCTCTGCAGCCTCTCAGTCTAGGCTGGCCTGACCCCACCCAGCGGGGCCCAGCCACACGTTCTTCAAGCGTGCTCCGCACCCCTCGGGCCAGCGTTGGCCTTTGCCTGGAGCACCTCCTACGTCCCCCGCCTCGTCTCACCCACCCTGGCTCCACTGCCAAATTCCCCTCGCTTTCTGAGAAAAGGGAGAGAGCAGCCCGGATTGTACATCTCTTCGCCTCGGTCCCTCCAATCCCCGCTGTTCTCCTCAGAGAGAGCACGATGGAAGATGGTATGAAGGTGATCCGAAACAGCTCAACATACCCTCGAAATAGCTCGGGCTTTTTTCGGGGTCAAACACCTCGATTGTCCCAGTAAAGCGCAGGGAGGATGAGTCTGCCACGTACCCCTTCCAGATCTGGGGTTCACACAGCAGTTCCAATCCAAGGGCAAGATCTTGTCCCAGGAGGTCATTTGCCTCCCTGACACCTTCTCCTCGTCTCAATAGAAAAAAAAAAAAAAAGCCAAAGCGACCTACAAAACCGCAACTACACCCCAGATTCGGCCCTTGGAGACTTTAAAGGCCATTTTGTAACCTCATTCTGCACCTAGTCACGGAAGCTATGCCAACCACGCAGATTCATGGGGTTCTTAAAATGGTAATTTGGAGTAAAATGTAACTCAAAGAACTTTGAATCATTCATTAGCACCTTATAATTACTCCGCTAATTAGGTTGACACGGCACTTAATCAGGAGTAATACGCCGTCTTGTCACTGGCACTTCCCATTACTCTGACATTCAACAAGAGACAGGTTGGAGACGTCCTAAAGAAAATAATGCAAGTTGATACCCTCCGACGAGGCGTCACAGTCATGCTCCGGGTCCCAAGTGGATCCATAGTGACTGTTTCCTTTCCAAAGGATAGGCCGGTCAGAAGGGGGAGGGAACAGACGTAACGGTATGTGGCGTGGCCGGGACACAGGTTTCGGACTCGTCAACCCTGTTCCTGTGCCCCACGCCGCACTGAACCGTGGCTGCCTATCCGCTAGTGAACGACTCGGGCACCATTTCCCCCGGTTTGGGAGAAAGTGTTTGATCAGGCATTCTTTCAGCACCAGCTCTGATTGGAGCCAAGGCTGGGCCTGGGTTTTGAGTCCTGGGCTCCATCCACCCGGAGAGTGCCTGGTGGAGGCAGACCCTTCTGTTTCTCTAAGGGATCCGCTACCAGGCTGGGCTAAGCCCGGGCGCATGGGTTCCTTGAGCTAAAAGTCACAGCTGGGAGCCTGCTCACCCACTCAGATCTCTGGTTCCTGGAGTTACCCACTTTTCTCCTTCTCTGTTCTTAGAGTCTTCAGACTATTTAAGCGTGTATTTGGGAAAGCTGAAAGGGCGGCCGCGCTGGAGTCTAAAGGTGAGTCGACCCGGTTCTTTTACTCTTTTCGCCCCAGCCTCTGACTTAAGAAAACGGGCAAATAGTTACCACTTATTATTATTTTTTATCTTTTCTCCCTTTGGTTCCCTTTCTCTAGTCTCCTTCTGTCCTCTTCCCCCTTTTCCCTTTGCCCCTCAATCGTGATTGTGGACACCTGGGCCACTGGACTTGGTGTTCGGCTCAGGGCTGCAGGCAAAGGGATCTGCGGGTCCTCAAAAGAGCAGCGGGGTCCAAGCGGCGCTCACTGACGGGTTTGCGAGCGGTGTGCCCATTGGTTCCTGGTACGTTGGCGTCGCTCGCTTGCGCGGGAGCGGCCAATGGGGGCGCGGGGCCGAGCGCGCGGCCTCGGCGGCGGGGGCGCGGGCCTGGCGCGGCGCGGARAGCGGCGGCAGTGGCCGTGACGTCACGGGAGGGGGTCGGCGCCGCCCGTGAGCCGCCGGATTACAAGCGAACGCGCCCGGCAGCGTCCGGAGTCGCCCGGCACCGTGTCTCTGCCGTCTTCTTCTCCTGAGCCTGCTCCTTCTCTTCTTCCTCCTCCTCCTCCTCCGGTTGCCGCGGGCACTGCGGCTGTGCCTGCACCACAACTTTCCAAGAAAGTTCTGAAACTCGGCTCCGAGGGGGCCTGATCGTGCGCAACAGCCACCTAGGGAGCTGCGGGGGAGGTCCGAGGGCGTGCAGCCGCCCGGGTTTCGCGATCGCTGCACCTGCCAAGTCCGCCGCCGCCGCCGCTGCCGCCCGGTGCCAGGCTGTGGGCAGACCCAGGCGGCAGCGGCAGCGGCGGTGGCGGCGGCTTAGGGGTCGCTTCTTTCCTCCTGCGCCTTCGCCTAGGTCTCCTGCGCCGCCCCCGCCGCCCCACGTGCGCGGTGGTCCCCCCGAGCGCACGTTTCTGGCTTTCCCTATTTTTCTTTTTTGGTAACCTCCCAGTCTTTCTTTCTCTCTATCCCTACCTTTTGCGTCAGGGGGAAAAAAAGTTGTGTCGAAAGTGTCCACCGATTACCACCTCCCCACTGTCCTTCCTTTACCCCCGCCCCACTTTCTTCTTCTCCTCCTTTTTTTTTTTTCTCCCCCGAGCGGCGGCAACGTTGTTTAGTGTTTATTTTCTTTTACGATCAATAGCTTTTTCTTGGTCCGGGCGGTTACTCAACGGCGGAACGGCGTGGACCTCATGTAGAAATGACAACAATGGAAGGGGCCAGCGGGTCGAGTTTTGGAATAGACACGATTTTGTCCAGTGCCAGTTCTGGCAGTCCCGGCATGATGAATGGAGATTTCCGCCCGCTCGGCGAGGCGAGGACCGCGGATTTTAGGAGTCAGGCTACCCCGTCTCCCTGTTCGGAGATTGATACCGTAGGAACGGCACCTTCTTCTCCTATCTCGGTCACCATGGAGGCCCCGGAGCCGCATCTCGTAGCAGACGGGCCCCAGCATCACCACCATCTCCATCACAGCCAACAGCCGCCGCCGCCAGCCCCGGCCCCGACGCAAAGTTTGCAGCCTTCGCCCCAACAGCAACCGCCGCCGCCGCCGCAGCAACAACAGCCAGCAGCCCAGCAGCTGGGCTCGGCCGCCTCGGCCCCCAGGACTTCCACCTCTTCTTTTTTAATTAAGGACATCTTGGGCGACAGTAAACCTCTGGCGGCGTGTGCACCCTACAGCACTAGTGTCTCCTCTCCCCACCACACCCCGAAGCAGGAGAGCAATGCAGCGCACGAGAGCTTTAGGCCAAAGCTCGAGCAGGAGGACAGCAAAACCAAACTCGACAAGCGAGAAGATTCCCAGAGCGACATCAAATGCCACGGTGAGTCGCGCCGCCCCAGCTGCCGTSTGCTTCTTCTCCTGGTTCCCTTCTTCCCTTCAGCTTCCAGCGAATCTCCAATGGGGAATTATTCCGGGAGATTGTTGGGCGATTGGGCGATGGTCAAAGAATGCAAACTGGAGAGAGGCCTGGGCGAGCCATTAAGAGAAGCTACCGAAGTTGTGTTTATTGTTACATTTTTACCTCTTAACCTTTACCGCCATCCAGTTTCTTTCTTCGTTTTACTTAATTTTAATGTATTGGGAGAGGGCCACGACGAGGAGGTCTGACGGGAAATACTTTTCCTTGACAAAAGGGACCATCTTGAGTTTTTTTTTTTTTTTCTTTTCTTTTCTTTTCTGGTTGAGACCTTGGGAATGGGAGTGGGGGGTGAGATGGGAGACACAAACTATTTAGCTAGCGTGGAGTCTAGGGGTGTGATCACAACCTGATGTTTATTCTTTAATGCAAATGATTCCCCCACACCCCCCCGCATATTTTCTAAACACCATCACAGGAATTATCAGATTCGAGGAAGGAAAAATTTCCGTTTTGATTAACAGGACAATTTGGGATTCATACAAGGAAGCCAGTAAAGATTCATAATCATTTTTTAAAAACACCCTTTTTGCCCAGTGGTCCCAACAAAATTCTGTATCCTCAGTAAAATTTTTGGCCCCTTACAAGTAATAGGGAGGTATTTTTTAAAAAGAATTTATGGAATTGAATTTGTCCATTTTTGTAAAATCAGATGACAATGGAAATTGTCTTTCAACTCCCTTTCTCCATTTTCTCCTCGGACAATGTCATAAGAAGGTGTTCTGATCTTTACATGGTAAGAGTTTTAACATACCCGGGGAGTACTTTTTTTACCTTACTGATAAGTTATTTATTATTATTAATCTTTGGTTCTTTGGCAAAGATAAGTGCTGACTGGAAGATAGGATATGGGCTTCTCATTTTACTATTATAGTATTAGCATAATAGTGCCCTAAACAGATGTACAGTCTGGTCTGGCGATTTTTCGTGCACCAACCTCCCCAGTGGGTCAATTAGAGAGATTATTGTTCTTCCTGCAGGGAAGATCAAGGAGCGCTGCACAAACGGGTACAAACAGAGAGGGATTGACATATCGATTTCCCAGCATTTCAGTAAAAAACCAAAGTTGACAAATAGAATCCGGAAATCTCTGCACTGTCACCTGGATGGGCTCAATGATTTTGAGTTCAGCTCCGTGTCGGGGCAACAAATTTTTCCAAAGCTTTCAAAGACCCAGTACAGGCAGCTGCAGAAAGCTTGATTCCAACATTTCCCAGGTGCATCTGAAAAAGAGAAATATGTGCCTGTAACTCCCAGTTAACAGAAAAAAAGTTAAACAAACAAGCAAAAAGTGTCCTCTTCTAAAAAAAAAAAAAAATCCACATAAAAGACTCTTTGGAAAGAACTAAATTAGAAAAGTGGTCCTGGTGAAAACAATTAAAAAAATGGACAGGGTCCTCCCCTACCCCATCAAGGAAAACAGAAACAAAAAGTCTTTTATTGAGAATTATTTTTTAAACTMTTAACTTCCAATCAGAAGATTTTTTTTTTAGAAGAAGAAGGGTTCTTTTAGAAGAACCCCTTTAAAAGAACCCTTTTAGGATATCTCTCCACAGGGCCCAAGAGTCCCCAGCCAGAAAACAWTCCTCTTCCGATACCCTGGCTCAGACCCAAGTATATGTGTGTGAGGGTAGTGGCAGAGTGTAGTCCCCTGAGACCAGTGGTTGTCTTGGGAATGTGAAAGTGTGTGCCAGGAGGATACTCCACCCTTTCCTATTTCAAGCTTACTTACATGGCTGTGTCTGGGTTTCTATTGTAGGAACAAAGGAGGAAGGAGACCGAGAGATTACAAGTAGCCGTGAGAGTCCCCCTGTGAGAGCCAAGAAGCCTCGAAAAGCCAGGACAGCTTTCTCTGACCACCAGCTTAATCAATTGGAGCGTAGCTTTGAGCGGCAGAAGTACCTGAGTGTTCAGGACCGCATGGATCTGGCAGCTGCACTCAACCTTACTGACACCCAAGTCAAGACTTGGTATCAGAACCGAAGGTAAGGCAGGCTCTTTGAGGAGCAGAGATGTCTGCCCAGGTCATAAACATTGCACCAATCTTCTTCCTTCCTGCCCTCTGGAGACTAGGGACTGAGAGTCAGAGAGCCTACTGTGGGTGAGTAGGTGTTTTCAGACTAGGGGTAGGGATTAGCCAAATCTCCAAGGTGAGAGAGACCTTAAGGCAGCTGGAATTGGGCAATTGTGCACTTCTAAGTATCTTAACAGGTGCTACTTTCCCTTGGAAACCTGAGCTGCTGGAATTCCCCACACTTTATCCCCAAATCAATCAAGCCACACCTTCTCAAATTGAGACATCTGTGCAGCTGACACTCAGGCCCAGAGAGCCTGTATGCGTGGTGCACCCCTTGGGCCTGCCCCAGGCTGGTTCCAAATGTCTGTAGTCGGCAACATGGCCCAGCCATTGTGGTCCCCACAGAGCTGTCCCACCAGTCTTGGCTTAAATGTGAGGTGGTTGGGAGAGCCAGGGTTACAGCCTTAAGCCTTGGTCCTGCATCTCCTCAGAGATTAGGAGAGTCCAGCTGGGTTAGAATTGGGTTTACAGCCCCAGGCTGGAGAATCAGGCAGTTGGCCAGGCGTCTAGACTGGGTGTCTGTCCCCTATACTGGCTGCCTCCACTGTCTCAATAGGGAGAAAGGGTGCCACAGAGCCTGCCCAGCCCTGCTGCATTTTTAGAAAGGAAATTAAGAAAGCAGCTGGCTGTGCTTGCAAGGTCCTGAACTATAGGACTGAACCTGGGCAGTCTGAGACGAGGTTATTCTGTGTTTCCAAGCCTGGCGCTCATCTCCCTTGTCTCTCCCCCTCCTTTTCTCTCGTTTGTGTTCTAATCGTCCATAAGTGCGGTTGGAAATGCCCATCCAGTTGTCATCTTTACCATAATTTTCTGTCTCATTACATACGGATTCAGCCACCCTAATTCTGTCGGAAAACATTAGTGTCATTTGTAGCCAATTTAAAATGGGCGACATGTTTATTAATTTGGTTGGAGCTGCTGGGTATGGACGGCCCACCAGCCTTACGCCAAGGGCCTGCTCCTGTCTTCTTCCTAAAGGGGGGTGTAGATGGGGGAGGGAGGAGACCAAGAAAAACTGATCACAGGTTTTAATTGTTACTTGCCCCAGAGGAGGAAGTGTCTTGAAATGCATCTCCCCACCCCAAAGGCCAGGAGGTACTGTCCTCCTGGGAGACCTTGTCTCCTTCCTTGCCCTAAATCCCCTACTCACTGTAAGGATCTGTCAGGCTGATAAGAGAATTGTCTCCACAGGCCTGGGGAAAGAGAGGAGCTGGGGTCTGAGGCCCAGGAGAGACTCTGTCCCTTTGTTTACAGTTTTGGTTACTTCTTTCTCCGTGGGGAGGGGGAGAGGCTGAGAGCAGACACTTTGGATTTATTGGGGGAGCACTTTGAAAGAGAATTAAGGGAGGAGGGGGAAGAGTGTGGAAAGAGGTGGTCTCCTTTGGTCTTCAGGAAAGTTTCAGGAAGTAGCCACAGTATGAGGGGGACAAGTAGAGCAAAGGGACAGGAAAAGGCAGCAAAGCTTATAGGATTTCATCTTCCAGTGTCTCAGACTCTGAGGGTGTAGTTTACAAAATTGGCTTTGGGTTTGAGTCCTCTTGTGAGCTAGGTGGGGGCAGGAGATGCACATTCCCAGTTCCAGAGCTCTCCAAGTCTCCCTACTGGGTGAGAGAAAAGGAGAAGATGGGAGAGGACCAGGGAATGGGTCGGGCCTCTGTGCCTGGTGCCTGGACCATGTCCACAGCCGCCTCTGAGTGCATGTGCACCTGCTTTCTTTCAGGACCAAATGGAAGAGGCAGACTGCGGTGGGCCTGGAGCTGCTGGCAGAGGCAGGGAACTACTCAGCGCTGCAGAGGATGTTTCCTTCACCTTATTTCTATCACCCAAGTCTGCTGGGCAGCATGGACAGTACGACAGCCGCGGCAGCTGCAGCTGCCATGTACAGCAGCATGTACCGGACTCCTCCAGCACCCCATCCCCAGCTGCAGCGGCCCCTGGTACCCCGAGTGCTCATTCATGGCCTGGGACCCGGGGGACAACCAGCCCTCAATCCCTTGTCCAACCCCATCCCAGGCACCCCACATCCCCGGTGAAGAAGGAGGGAAGGCTCTACAATCCCTCCCAATCCCCGACCTGACCTGGACAGCTGCCCCACCTCTTCCCGCATCAGACCTYCCTTGCAGCGGACACTGGGAGGCAGAGGAGTAAGAGAGGAAGATACTCACCTATGGGCCAGGGTCCCCAAAGAGGAGCCAGCTTTCTGCTCTCCATCCCAACCCCCCAGAGGCAGGGCTGGAAAGCTCCCCCACAGCAGTGTGACTGGTGAAAACGCTGACCCCACACAAAGTGCAACCAGTAAGTGAAAACATCAACAAAAACAAAACCTCAAGTTCTTTTTAAAAAAACGACTTTAGGGACAAGCAGGAGGGAGGGAGGGGGGAGGGCTAAAAAGGGAAGAAAGAAGGGCATGGAGAGGAACTGTAGGGGCAGAGAGAATTGTAGGTGGACAGACAGCCTCAAATATCCAGGCAGAGGGTGTTGCCATGGACATTCATCTGCCCCAGAGAAAAGAGGAGGGTGACTGAGAACTTTGCACTGATTTCTCATGACCTTTTTTCTTTTGGAAAAGTGGCATGCTCCATAATATGAAAAAAAAAATTGTACATTTGAAAGACTGAGTGATAAGTGATATATCATATTTATTATATGTTGTCCAAAAAAGAGTCACTTATATACGTTAGTAAAAACATGATTTTTTTCTTTTCATGTCTTTTTGATTCAGTAAAATAAATGCTTAGACAAAAAATATAGATTTTTTTGTGATTGAAAATTACAAAAATAAAGTTTATCTTTTTTTAACAAGTGATGAAATCCCAGGGAGCTGATTTTACTAAAGCAGAAAATTATGATGAAATGCGCGACTAGGAAAAAACAAATTCCTTCCCGAATATTGGGAATTTTCAAAATCTGTAAGACCTTGGTGTGGCTGGTGTAAAACCAGTCCCATTTTTTCACGCTGGTCTCTTCCGAGCCATTATTTGCTTTATGTGAGCGCCTTTCTTTTTAGGTGGATGGTTTCAGAGCGGCCGGTGAGGCCACGGGAGAAGTCTGTGCTCGCGGGCTGTTGGAGCTGGCTAAGTAGGCGTCCAACTTCCCCTGYCGCCCCTGCTGCCTGGAGGCCTCTGGTTGACCGCGTGTTGGGACCCCTCTGTCTGCCCCTCCCCCTTCTCCTAGGGGTCTTCCTAGGGCGGCGCGGGTCCCAGCGCTGGGCAGCGACGCCGGCAGGGCTGGGCAGCGGGCGGACGCTCCGCCGGCCTCGCAGCTGTTCTGCCGCCCGCGGCTGGGCGCCCGCGCGGCCCGGACAGCCTGTGAGCGGGAGGCTGCAGGGCGAGCAATTAGGACACCCCAGGGGACGCGGGGAGGCCCAGCTAACAAACCCTCGTCACGGCTTTGATCCTTGCCTTCTCAGTCCCCGGCGGCGGGCGTCCAGCCCCCATCTCCACGAGGATCCGCTTGTCCCAGCGAGTTCTCTGCGCTTCGATGCCTCAACGGGGAACTGTGGTTGAGGCAGGCTACTAAAACGTTTTATCCGCGCCCCTGAAACGTCCGGGACCCCAAAAGAGAGATCTTGCCCAGATTGTGGAGGAGACCCGCTGCCGGCTTGCGGGGTGTGTGTGTGTGTGTGTGTGTGTGTGTGTGTGTGTGAAAAATATTCGTAGCACCCCGGCCAGGGCTTGACTTTCGACCGCAGTCTCCCTAAACCAGGCTGATTCCCCACCAAGCCCAGCTTTCAGGAACCGCGTGAAGGCAAACTGAAGCGTACAGCTATTGAGCGTCTCCCACTCCTCTCCAGCCCTGAGGTCACTTTCTGAGAAGCCGGAAAGTCGGATCCCCTTATCTGAGTATCCTCACATCTGTATCCTCGCTCCTGCCCTAGTGTAGTGACAAAGGGTAAGACAACTAAAACACATCTAGACCTGGCCTCCAACTTTCTCTGATGCTTAAATCTTCTTAGATTTTAAAACATTGTTTTTCTTTTAAACAAGGTGGAATGGTGTGGGAATGTAAATTGAGGAGTGCAGGGAAGGAAGAAGGAAAGAAAAAGGTGAAATCCGGGAGGAARTTGCCTCGGGCGCCTTGATTAAACCTTGGGTAATTAGGGAGTGGTTTGCAGATTTCTCTCCAGCTCATCAATTTGCTTTAAAAAACGGTCCTGGTCTTCTTTGATTCTAACAAAAGGGTTTGGCCTATCCCTTCTCATTTTTTCCCTGCTGAGCTGGGACAAACTCAGACAGCTGGGCTTGGCTGGAAACTGGGCACCACTATGTCCAGTGGGGATGCCCAATGCCTGGGTACTCAGCAGACTCTCCTTGTTCCATTTTAGCTGTGCTTGGGTTGGATTTTTAAAATAGAGTTTCATCAGTTAGCAATGATTTGCCCAGGCCTAAAAGGGCACTTTCTGAGGCTTCTCGCTGCACTGGGTATGGGTCTGGTCAGCTCTGGATACAAGGAGAACCTGGGAGAGTACAACATTTACACCTGAGAATGACCTCAGGTCCAGGTGGGGGAAAACACAAAACAAACTTACAAATGAGGCAAGGCTATAACACCTATTTGCTGCCAGAAGCCCACCACTCACTCTGAGGCAGCCCACTGGTGCTTCACTTTCAACACTGAACTTGTACTCTCTAAGTGGTCAGTTCATGGGGAAGCATTGTGCCTCCAGAGAGCAAGGTTTTGCAATTGACTTCATATTCCACCGCTGCTAGTAATTATTCTGCATATATTAGAGTTCCCCCCACCCAATTTACTTCTCCTCAAAGTCATGTTTTCTTACACCTCTTATGTAATGCAGCTGAAAGTGTCAATCCCCCTTTTCTGAATTTGTTTGGGTTACTTGCTGTTGCATGCAAATTGGAAAATTCAATGTGGGGGAGATTGTCCCAGGAAGAAAGATGAGTACTGGATCCCTTCTTTTCACCCATTTCTTAATTTTTTTTCTTTTCCTCTCCCACCCTCAGGCAGTGCTGCAAAGGGTGTCTTAGTAGGTGCCCAGTATTCAAAAGCCCCCAAATTACCGCTTAAAAGTAAAACAAATCTAGTCCATTCCCTCAAGAGGCATCCTTCTGTACTTCTATGCTTGTCCAACAAAGTTGGGGGTTTGGCTAGAAAGTAAGGAGGGCAGCCTCAGGTTTTCCGAGAAGCAGAGCAAGTTAGCATGCCCTTTCTCCTGGGAGATCTAGAGTTAGTTACAGAGGTTCCAGGACGGCTGTCCTTGGGAGCTGCACTTGTTTTCTCTACCTTCAGCTGGTGTCTGAAGGGCACTCCATGGCTGGACTTCTTTTGCATTCTCTTTTGATTAAATTGAAGTCTGGCAAAACAGACTTTCAGGGGCCCTTGTTTCCTATAGGAACACAGGAAAACAAACTTGTTACAGAGATGTTAAAAAAACCCACAAAGAATTCTTAGATCTGCCTACCCCAATATTAGCTCAGGGACCCCAGCAAACCCAGCACAAATCTGTAGTTGAGTGTGAAGGAAGGAATTGCAGACAGCTGTTCTAGCCCAACCCAGTGGCTTTCAATGAGTTCTGAAGTAGCGATTGCTGCTTGGCTTCATGCCTCCAGCAAATATACCTACCACCCTGTATCAGTTTATTTTTGCTCCACCCCTTAAAATAAAAGCCCACATGATGGCAAATTAGACAGGCGATTTCCTCTGTTGCAAATAAAACGGCTTACTTACCCTTAGACCAAGTCTTCCCTCCTCCTCCCTCTCTGTCATCTGACTCCTGTCTAGGCAGCCCTTCCCCAGGAGCCTTCTGAATCCCACCTCCCCTCTTTAAACAGGCGGCTTGTGAGTAGTTTGTTTTGCTATATTTTTAACTTTCTAAAAATATTTGGAAAAGCTCTCCCCAGGGCTAGGGAAACTTTAGTTCTTGTTAAGTCACGTGGTTACAAAAATATACTAGAAGAGCGCTGCTTATTTTCTTGAAAAAGCCAGGCAGGGCTTGAAGTCAACATGCTTGGAAAGAAACTGACTTTTCACCACTAGTGGGCACGGTCAGGGGCAGGGCCAAGCCTCCAAAGGAACTGATGATTCCTCTGTATCTCTGAATCSTTGGTGAGAGAAAGCTGGCTAGCCTGGTGCCCTGGCTGTTGCCTAGAGAGAGGTGTGGCAGATGGGTGGGGTGGGGGTGGGGTTCTCCAGGGTTTATTCCATGGACTTTAGAATAGTGTCCCCAGGCTTTCTCATTCAGTCTTCGTCCAGCCCCACTTCCTTGGCCAATACTAACCTTCTATCTGCCACTTGCTTATTTTTCTGGAGTTGGGGCCTTTCAGCCAGTGCCCAGCAGATGGTCCTCCTTACCTCTAGCAGGTTGAATATCCTCAGACTGGGTAAGGGTAAGTGTGTAGGGAGGAGGGGATATGTTTCAAAGAAAGGAAGGTGTCACTGGCCTCTTGCATTAGAAAACCAGGTCAACAGTCTCTGGACGATGAGATGACCCAGAGTTTTCCCCTCCCCCGCTCCCCTGCTGAATTTTGAAGGTCTTTGTCAATCTGAATATTGGGTGGACCGCCTGCGTCAATGTCATATTTTCTATTTCTTTCCTCTCTACTTCTCCAGTCTCTCGCCCTGCCTCTCCTATTTTCTCTCTCCTAGCACCACAGACAGCTCCCAGGTCTCTCAGTGGAGCCGGGTGCCGGTCCGGGCGGGTTCCCTGCAAAGCCTGGGCGACCGCAGGGGGCGCCCGGGAAGGGTCGGCGGCACCCGCTGGGGAGGTCCTCGAGGTGATTACAAAGAGTCCTCCCCGGCAGCGTTTCCTGATTAGCTTAAGTCCAAACAGGGTCACATTCCAAAGAACAAAATCTTCAGATCAATAAAGTAATTCAAAAACCAAAAGATCTCGGGGTAAGTAGTACTCTGTGACAGATCAACTCTAAACCGCCTCTGTTTAATAAGTTCTTAGTGGAAGCCAACTAGGGAGGAACGGGGCTTCTGGTCTGCTGCTCCGAAGCCTTGCGCCGCGGTTGCAGCGAAGGCGCCAGTGGAACCTCTCTAAATGGAACGCATTTCCTCCGCTCGCACAGCACTGAGCGCGCTCGGCCAGCCTCAGCCTGGGTGGAGGCCCAGAAAAGGCGTTTCAGAGGCGGCCGCCTTGCCGGTCGGCTGACCTGAGGCCAGGACGCGCACCGCGGTTCCCTTCCGGCGCGTTTGCCTAGCAGCTCACGCCGGTCCCGGGCGGAGGGGATGGGGGTGGGGTGGGGTTGGTTTAGTCCCTTGGGAGTTCTGCTGCTGCTGCTGGTGGGGGTGGTGGTGATGGTGTGTGTGTGCGGGGGGCGGGGGGGAAGGACCGTCGCCAGCGCT